CAAGTTCCCATCAACAAATGAATGGCTAGAGAAGCTCTGGTATATCCACATAGTGGAATACTACGATGCATTGAAAAACAAGGAAATCATGAAATATTATACAAAATGGGTGACCCTGGAGGACATTATGCTGAGTGAAATATCTCAGTCACAAAAAAAGACAAATATTGCATAGTGCCATTGTTGTGAAATGGGACTGACATTGAGGTTGAGGGGAGATTGAGAAAGCAGGGATAAATAATGTATATTGCATTGAAACAGATGAGGGAGAGAACTGTTTAAAAGGCATATATGATTATTGTCATGACAGGAATCCTGAATGAAGGCTGCATAGTGAAGCGAACTTGGGGGGAGGGATTGCATAGCGATGAAAGAATTTTTCTTTTACTTTTCAAAGAGAAGAGTGAATTGGAGGGGAGGGGTGGGCAGGGAGAAAAGTGCAACAATGAATGGATGGAAATCCAAAGTCTCTGTAAACTTTCATTAAAATTAATTAAAAAAAGGAAACTTTAAAAAAAGCTACCGTTATTATTCTCTGCAACTATGGCTTTTTTTTCACACATGGAAAAATAGTATATTGAAAAGCATGATGGTGGTTCTGGAGGATGTAGTTAAGCACTTAGCTGCTAACCAAAAGGTTAGTATTTGAACTAACCTTTCCATGGTAGGTAGTATTTGAACTAACCTTTCCATGTAGTTAGTATCTGAACCACTCACTGCCTCTACAGGAGAAAGAGCTGGCCATCTGTTCACGTAAAGGTTCCAAATCTTAGTGTTAATTCTGACTCACGGAGACCCTGTGTATATAGGATCTTGCTTTGTATGATTGGTTAGAGTTTGGTAGCTCAGTCTACAAACTGTGGTCCATTTGGGGTGGGGGGAGAAGTATGAATATGCTTCCAATATGAAGGTGTTGTTACCCACCCTCAATTCACTAAATGTTGTAAGTTGACATTTAGTTGGCCCCCAGCTGATGGTGACCTGAAACCTGCCTCATCCTCTGACTGAGTCCACTGTTTTGACCACTGTCCATTCTGGGTGCCTGCCTACCTAGAAAGCCCATCTTCCAGCACTGCATCAGACACTGTTCTTTTATTATCAGAGTTGTGTCAGAATAAGACTGTACTCCCATTGGGTTGTCATTGCCTAAATTTTGCAAGTAGATTGTCAGACATTTCTTCCTAGGCTTTCTTAGTCTGGAAGCTCCACTGAAACTTTCCACCATGGCTGACCCTGCTGCTATTTGCACAACCAGTGGAATAGCTTCCAATATCACAGCAACGCCAAATTACCACATACAACAAAGTGACAGGCAAGTGGTGAATTTAGTAATTTACGTATCTCACCAAAGAGACCCTGGGCAGTGTACTTCACTGCCAATCAAAAGATAAGTTCTAGTCTACCCAGAGATGCCTCCCAAGAGACGCCTAGGAGTCTGCTTCCAAAAACCAAACTATTGAAAAGTATGTTCTCCTGTAGAGTAATGATACTACATTTCATCTCTAGAGAGATGAACAGAGAGAGTAGTGCCACCACCACCAGGACCTCTTCCAGGAATGGTCACTTCTATCTCGCAATTAGCGTTGTTCCAGTGTGGAAGAAAGGAATAGGATGGTTTGAGTACATAATTTCTCTCCTGAGAAAGTTATTTTGTGCTCATAGGAAACCTATACTCAGTCCTCAGAGCACAGAAAAGAA